TCAACAGCTGAAGTAAGGATCAGGAGTGAAGTAGTCGAACGCGTAGACAACTTTACTTATCTTAGAAGTCTGGTCAGCCCTAATAGCTTGGTGTCTGACGAAATCTCAGCACGGATTCGAAAAGCTCGTTTGGCTTTTGCCAACTTACGTCACATATGGCGAAGGCGAGATATCCTTCTATCAATTGAGGGACGAGTATAGTGCGCGGCAGTCCGTTCTGTTTTAATTTTGCGGCAGCAAAACATGGCCATTAAGAGTAGAAGATACTCGAAAGCTACTAGTATTTGACCACAGATGCCTTGGAAACATTGCTCTCATCTCCTGGAATCACCAAGTCAGTAATAGTGAGGTTAGACGCAGGGTGTTAGGGAATGATCAGTTGATGAGGTTGTGAATCTTCGTCGACTGAGATGGTTGGGCCACGTGTTACGTATGCCTGAACACCGATTGCCACGACGTGCAATGCTAACCGGCGTTGGAGATGGTTGGAAGAAAGTTAGGGGCGGCCAAACCAAAACGTGGCATCAGTGCTTGAAGTCACTAACTTCTAGTCTGAGCCATGTTGGTAGATGCAGACTACTTGGTTGGGGTCCGCGTGACTATCGTAACCAATGGTTGAAGACTCTTGGTGACATGGCTCAGAATCGATCACAATGGCGTGGGTGTATACACTCTCTATCTTCCCTTAAACTAAGACATTAAAATTGCTTCATATCTTTCTTTTTACGTACTAATTCTTTCTTCCTGTACTATATCCTTATTGCAGTCTTTCTTTTATATATTACCACCTCTGAATTAACTACTTTTATGAATCCGGTGTCCGTCTTGTTGTGTTAATGAGGTATGGCAACTTGGACCGATGTATATATGTGCCTGGTTCTACGTTGTAGCTGACTGACTGACTGACCTAGTTCAATAGATCTTATGTGCACCACACATTAAGTATCAGATTTTCTAAACTCATCAGTCAACGACGTAGAACTTTGTAAGTGCTTATATCAGTTCGAGTTGTCATACCACATTAGCACAGAGATGTAATTGTTGATTTAAATCCCATAGTGGTAGAGGTAGTAAGAGTATAAGCAGTAATCGGAAAGATTAGGGTTTGAAGATGTTATTTAAAGAGTATAATCCAGTGAAATAAATCTGGAAAGAGAAAAAAAAGACAAGGAGGATTCAGGAGATTAGAATTTGGGAGAACACAATGAGTGGCTGCACCTGCGCCACTGCAAACGATTTCGAGCCATGTCATTCAGGGTCTCTAACCATCGGTTGCTATCATCTCGCGGTCCCCAACCAGGTAGTCTACACCTACCAACATGACTCAGTCGACTTGTCAGTGGCTTCATGGATTTGTGTCATGTTCTGGTCTTGCCACCCCTAGCTTTCTTCTAACCTACTCTTACGCCATAAAACATCGCACGTCAGGCAGTCGGTGGTTGGGCATACGTAACACATGTCCCAGCAATCTCAACTGATGAAGTTTTACTACTACATCAATTGACTTGCCATCCTTACCTAGTACCCGTTTCCTAACAACTGCATTACTTACTCGATGATTCGAAGAAATTTATGATCGAATACTAGTAACCTACGAATATCCTCTACTCTTACAGGCCATGTTTCACAGTAGAATGGAACAAACTGCTGCTCAGTAAACCCGTTTTTTGGTTGGTAGACAGATATCTCGCCCACGCCATAAATGACGCAAGTTGGCAAAAACTAGTCGAGCCTTCTGTATCCGTGCTGAGATTTCGTCACACACCAGACCACAAGGGTTGGTGAGACTCCCAAGATAGGTGAAGCGGTCGACACGCTCAACTACTTCACTTCCTATCATTAGTTCAGGTGTAGATGAAACTAAATACTGAAGCAACATTTTCATTTCGAGGGGGAGAATCTCATCCCGAACATTTTTGTATTGTTGCTTAGAGTGATTAGAAGACTGCATTTTGTCAGCGTCTTTACCAAATAGAACTATGTCATCGACGTATTCCAAGTCAACAAGTGAATCTCAACGTAAAAGTTAAACCCCTGGAAAGTCAGATGAGAAAAGTGTTATCTCTAAAAGCACGTCAATGACAAAGTTAAACAAGAACGAACATCACTTAAGGTAACCAATTCTGATGACAGTTTACCATAAGCTCTCACTCGGCTGGTTTTGTTCAAGTAGAGAGCCTGTATAAGGTAAATTTACTTCTTTGGTACTCCTTTCAGTGACAAACACTGCCACAGAACTTCACGATCAAGCTCCAAATGCCCTGGTACGACCAAGAGTGGGGAGAGTTCGCTCTCCCTCTCGAAATGTTCTCATATGGCCATGCGTATATAGCCTCTGCCATGGAAGTCCTACTCATTGCCTTCTCGTGGCGAGGCTTTTGTTTACGAAATTGAGAGGAGGAAAAGCGAATGTCCGGCGCCTTAACCGGGTTGGTGGACATGGAGAGTCCACCTAGGGGAGTTGGAAAACCCTGATTCCAAATCAATGGTGCACATGGGCCCCAGTATCCTGAAGGAACAAATGGCGTATGAACCAATCGTTGGTCACCGGCTACCGTGGGACTGCATCTCTTTACGATGCTCCACTGCCTTGTGGGTCAGACCTTAAGGTCGAAGGCTCCGGGTGTGGCCCCCTAAGAAAACCACCTGTTTCGGTCTGGGCACCCGGGCAGTATCACAGCCCTCACACATATCAAATGAGATTTGTGTGGCGCACATGCATATGGTGCCTCCTTGTACCAATATCTGTGTTCAAATAAATAAATAACGATCAACAGAGCCAAATGCCGCCTTAAGGTGGGACGTCTGAATGTGTGTCCATGTTCTAAGACCTGACGTGGTGTGAATACAGCCACGTCCAGGTCGAAAATCAGCCTAGTTTTCTCATTTTGAGCTTTGGTTAGGCGTCGATGTATTATTGAAGTTAACGTTTTTACACTATATTAGTCAAACTGATTCCTCCGTGATTGTCACAAGAGGACTTTTGTCCTTTCTCATAGACTGGCACAATCAGTGATTGAGACCAGTCAGATGGGATCACGTCCAGTTCCCAGATTCTACCCAATATCCCAGTCAATCTCACTGCTAATACCGGACCACCATCCTTAAAAACCTCAGAGGTAAACCTGTCAGGGCATACTGCTCTCCCTCGCTTCATATTTCCTATAGCTTTTTCAACTTCGTAAAAAGCTGGATAACTTACACCAACTTGCCATTCAGGTCGACTGGAGGTCATGGGAAACCGAAGTGTGGCTAAATGCCGGTTGATCTGATCTCTGAAGTGTTCTTCTCATCGATCCAATCTCCTGGATTGAGAGTGAATAATATGTCCATCTTTTTCCGAGATAGTTTCGTTAACAGTTGGGTTCCTAATACCGGTTTCCTTGACAAGTGTGAAGAGTTTTCTGCTGTTACCCATTTCCGCTGCCTTTTCCATCTCTCTTGCTTTCTCTACCCACCAATGTTCGCGATCATTGCGTAGGCTTCTTGTCAGCTTACGCTTAAGCTGACTCCGCTCTTCGTCATGTTCAGATCCAGATAGGATGAATTGTCGAACATAATATCAGTGCGGTAGTTGCTACTGAGATCCCGTGTTTCTCCCTAACCTTATGGTTTACCTTACTAGCAGATATTACCGCTGTTTCCACAGCTTTTTGGATATCATTCCACGCTGCCTCGGGGTGGGCATCACTTACATGGCTGCCTAACTGTTTTTCTAGTTGTCCCTCAAATATATTAGCTTGTCTATCATTAAGTAGGACCTTAAGAGGTTTCCTTGCAGCGTCTTTCCTACGTCCAGTAAAACGCAGAAAAATATACGCTCGTGCTAGAACATAATCTGAATCTAATCATGTGCTCCAGAACGAGCGACAGTTTCGTATCAAGCCCCTCCATCGGTGGCTGATAGCGATGTGATCTATTTGGGTCCAACGTTGGGACGAATTCGGAGGTCGCCATGTCAAAAGGTGTTTCCTTTATACTTAATGTTAGTATTTGCTAGAAACAGGCGGTTGTCCGAGCATAAGTGCAACAGACGGTCTCCATTATCTGTTCTTTGAGTCACGACACCATAAGATCCACCAAAGTGTCTTTCCTTTTCTCTCGGTTTACCTACTTGAACATTAAAGTCACCAATACTACATCAGAGCGCCTGAAGTTTTGGAGGAGGTTGGAAAGTTACCTGTAAAACTCATCTTTTACATCATCTGAGCTGCAGTCAGTGGGAGAGTAGGCCGATACGACGAAGAGCCATCGATGAGCGTCCCTATCTTTCCGAGTTCTTACTGTTCCGTTTAGTCGGACAGCGCACAAACAACTGTCTACTAGAATCCAGTCTAGGAGAGATAGTTCTGCCACGGGAAGCAGCATAGGGGCTTGAATCGAGATGGTTCTTTGTTTTGATATGGTGAAGTCAAATGAATGACGCTACTCAGATCCTGTATGCGGATTAGTGTCGGTCTTAACGACCTGGGAGCGTGACCGCAGAGCACAAGGGACAACTGCTTGAGGCTGGGCGCGCACGGCCTTTCTGTGGGAATTTTTTAACGTGTTAGCTCCGTTCTTCAAAAGGCCTTATCGCCGGAGACGAAAATTCGTGAGGTAAGGTGAGGTGTGACAATTGTAGGGTCGATCTTTTCTAACCCCTTTCTTCCTTGTGAGAAGGCAGCATTTCTGCAGACGCTGGTTGTCCGAGGGAAACACCTTACTGCTGTCACAACCTTTTACAGTCAGCAGTACGACTTCGCCCTCAGACCTTAAGTTTCCAATCGACCTGCCTGGCATGGTGGTAGAACCTACAGAAACATATGTTCCAGCCAATATAGCTCGGTTGGGTCATCACGATAGTCAAGCTTGACCACCGCGTCAAGGTAGCAGCTACGGTCGGGAAATTTTCTAAACTGCATAGGACGTATGTTTTATTCGATTTGTGTGGTATACCACAATTTATGTAATCACGCTTTGTTATCTAATGTTTTATAACGTTTTCAAAATAATTGTAGGCTGAGAAAGATAGAAAGCAGGAAGAGTATGAAGCCACTAATGCTCTAAAAAATCGAATCCATCGTTTGGATGAAGATGAAGTTGAATACCTCCAAACACTTGCTACCAAACAGTACAAAGCTGATTTGGAGAAAGAAAAGGAAGTAGCTGAGTTGGTTAGAGAGGCAACTATATCCTTTTTGTTTCAAGTTCTTTGTTCTTAGAATTTTTCCGCTATTTCCTTAACTCATAGTATACGTTCAGGCAAACAGATCGGGCTATATCCCCACCACAAGCGTTATAATTGATCCCACTTCAAAACCATTTTATAATAAAGGAGGATCAAGCCAACGTGCTCTTCTTGCTAATGCTGTTAAACGCAATTCGTAAGCGTGTTATCATCATTTAATACTTTTAACTGTAGTGGCAGCTTGGATATGTCAGGTCCACAATCGAAGCGGTCAAATATAAGAACAACATGTAAGTCTTCCGATATTTTTAGAGAGCAACTGATTTCAATTTAAGTATTCTACTTATACATAGTAATGCTTTAGAAATTCATGCAAAACTCTTTGCTGCAACCGAGTGTTTATAATCCTAACGTTATTTCACCATGTTTGGGCGCAAATAAGTCATTCTCAACGTAGGACCTGACATATATGTTCATTGGATCAAGTCGCCACATTATATTAGCACAGGGAGATACCAGTGAAGTATAGGTTCTAACAGTATTGGCGGTAGTGAAAAAGTTCAGACATGGAATATATAATTCGAGAAAATATGTATTCGTGCAATACATAAATGATTAAGAAACTCAGGATCTAAGAGGAGATTGAATGCACCTGCGCCATTGCAGACGATGTTGAATCAGGCCACCTAAAGTTTTTAACCATCGCGCAGACTCGACTAAGTAATCTGTACCTGCCTACACAGTACAATCCAGCAGCCAATTACTTCATGAATTTATAATACTGGTTGAAATCATGAGCCAATTGAAGCTAGACCACCATAAAAAAACCTGGAAGCACTGGACGGCCGTTTCGTCTTGGTATGGGACTCCTCAGCAGTGCGCACCCACGGCCCCGCACCCCGCGAGATTCGAACCCAGAACCTATCAGTCTCGCGCCAGGCGCTTAACCAACTAGACCACTGAGCCGGCATCCAACGGTGTTGATGTCTAACTTAAACCAATCCACGAAGTTGCGCCACCGTACACCATTGTCTTCAGTGAGTTCCTATCTCACAACAGACCTGGTTGAACTCCATGGTGGTCTAGCTTCAATTGACTCATGATTTCAACCAGTGAAATTTCTAAAAAACTCCACAAAACCCATTCTGATAATTTATAATACGTTCCGGCTTTATCTCCTGTAGTTTTCTCTCAATGCATCTCCACCAGTAAACTCGTCGAGGTAGACGGTGGTTGAAAATACGTATCACATGTTCCAACCACCTTAGTCGATGAAGATTCATTACCTCACTTTTATGGCTTTCTTTTATTACTACCCAGCTACTCTTATTGCTTAGTATTCCTTGACACTACTTGACTCGAAAAGTCCCCGAATCAAATCACGGTTAAACAGGAACGTAACTATATTCGAAATAACAAGGTTGGATGGAAGCAGAAATCACAAAAAACGTTAGTACATCTATAATTTTTACACAAGAAGGTTCTAGAGTTTTCTTCAGATATCCAGATGGTAAATCAGTTGATGAGGTTATGAATCTTCATCGACTGAGATGGTTGGGCCACGTGTTACGTATGCCTGAACACTGATTGCCACGACGTGCAATGCTAACCGGCGTTGGAGATGGTTGGAAGAAAGTTAGGGGCGGCCAAACCAAAACGTGGCATCAGTGCTTGAAGTCACTAACTTCTAGTCTGAGCCATGTTGGTAGATGCAGACTACTTGGTTGGGGTCCGCGTGACTATCGTAACCAATGGTTGGAGACTCTTGGTGACATGGCTCAGAATCGATCACAATGGCGTGGGTGTATACACTCCCTGTCTTCCCTTAAACTAAGAGACTAAAATCACTTCATATCTTTCCTTCTACGAACCAATTTTTTCTTCTTGTACTATATCTCTATATGCAATTTTTCTCTTATATATTACCACCTTTGACCTAACCACTGCTGAATCCGGCAACCTGGACCGATGCACATATGTGCCTGGTTCTACGTTGTAGCTGACTGACTGACTGACTCAGATATCCACTAGCGCCAATTGATTAAGAAATAGCCAATCAGCGTGCCCCAACACAATTCTGCACAGAACATACTCTGATCCAATCTATATCCCTCTAACACTCACCATGCTTACCTGGTACTCTACTTCTCCGAAAATCTATTCATTCGGTAGCTGTTACCTAAATCCATTGATAGTTTTTTGGTTTAAGTCGATGGTAAATAGCACTGCTGTTTTCGCAACTGTAAGGATGTCATGTCAACATACATCGGGGTAGACATCTCTTTAATGGTTTATCAACTGCTACTCTAGTTGTTCCTGAAATATACTCTTAAATTTTTCATCGTAAAGCTGAACTCTGACAGGTCTTATGCTGCGTTTATTATGACCCAAATAAATGTGTCCTCGCATTGACGAATGTTTAGAGAGGATTGAGTGTATATTATCGACAAAAACGTCAGAATAAATTTAATTATTTCGCTTAACTCATTTCCAAGTGCAAGTGTGGATACTCTGAAAGAGGTTTTACGTTATTTTAATGTTCCGTTAAAGTATGTTGTTCAGAAGTTTATTTTTCGTGCATTCATATCCAGCTTCTAACGAAATGTGTCCTGGGCAACATGAAAATACGGTAAAGACAAAAACAGATGATCCAATTGTTTCTAAATTGCTGAATGGTTCTGTCTTGCAACCTGTCGCTGTGCTGCCTGGATTAAATGAATATTCAACCTCAGATTCCGACCAGTCAACAGATTCGGATGATGACGAATCAACTGATGTTGAAGATGCTGTTTGTACATTACAGCAAATAGCTTGTACAAGAATACGATATGCTAAAACTGATGGTACCGTGGATAATGACTAAAATCTGATGTACAGTATAACGCAAAATTTGTGACTAAATTGTATATTTCTCTCTTTAAATTTCCTTCATTGCTTCAGTCGTAATAACCCTTATCTTTGTTGTCTTCTACTATTTGTCTGTCGGGTGATCAATATTGATAATATGTTTAAATATGTTAACGTTAAGGTGACGTAACTAAGTACAAATCACTAGACTCAAGATATATTTTTGATGTAAGCGCTAGTAATACTCATAGGTTAGTAACCAGTACATGGCAGTAATTTTGTGCATGTAGTTGCTATGGGTGGCATTAGCACTTGGTTTCCAGATATATAATGAACGTTGACAACTAGAATACATGGTAATAATTCTAATTTTTTTAGGATTTAATTTGTCCTACCGGAACTGCAAACACGATACTTATGAATCCGAGTCTCTGTGGAAGTTATAGTCAGAACAAGGACAACTTGACTTTAAACTCCATCTGTTTCGAACAGTATTGTATGTCCTGTCGAAATAAATAAGAAAAAGATGAGTTGCAGTCACACTAATGTGATAGGATAGTAATGTCCTTCAATTAGCAGGTCACATGCAACAGGGATAGTCTACAGACGCCAGGCAAGGTTAACTTGGTGGTTTCTTAAGCAGCGAATTGATTGGTTAGTTATGGGTATAACTAACAATTTCATAAATGTATGTTAAAAAATTCAGATTCTAAATTATAATTAGTGTGTCTAGACTAAACTGGAACCCTATAGAATTGTTTTCTTCGAATAATTAGTAATATTGTACAATACTAAATATTGCATTTTGTTCTTTTAGGAAAGTGAAATTTAACGTACATCCCTTTGGTGTTATCAGTTTTGCCTTTCTGAACACTTCGAGCTCGAACTCCACTAAAATAACTGCTAAGCCACACCAACAATTCGAACTACCCCTGCCAGAATGTAGATTTCAAAAGTCGAATTGGAGTAAGCTAAGTACCACCTGGCTTTTAGTTTGTGGTGTGGTCAAATTCATTCTCCTTGAACGGGCGAATTGAAGATATCACATAGATTAAAATAACCGTTATACCGTAAATCCTGCAAACAGTATTTAAATTATTTACTAGCTTTTTGACACATGTAGGTTACAATCGAGTGGTTTCTTGACATCAAATTATGCTCAGTACGAGTTACACAAAGTCAAGATGTTAGAATCGACCTACATCTCCCATCTAAAGATTTAGTTGAGATAAGATGATCCATCACGAGGTTTCTACTAAATATTATAGGAAAGTAGCTGTATGTTGCTAACGCCATCATTCCGACTATCACTTAACTAAGAACTTGTACAAATAGTATGAGGTGAGGTTAGTATATTAAGGACTTTAATGAGTAATACAGATATCGCGACAGTGAAGAAACATCCATGTAATCTTTAAACGAGAAATCTGAGTAAATTAGAATTCTTCACCAGTTACTGCTGACTATTCGTAATCATCGCAACATTCTTTAAAAAAAGCAAGGGTTCGCAGTGAATATTATCCAGTGCTATGCACTCAAATGATAGCAAACATCAAAGTCAGAATCTTCAACACGAACATCGAGACATTTCTATTGTATGGGGATGAAACTTGGAGAACGCTAAAGTTGGGTAGGATATTATAGTGGCTAATTTCCTCTATATCTGATAAATAGTAACTCGTTAACGGAGCGATTACGCAGGCTCAATCTTCTAGTAGTATTATGAATTGACTCGATATTATTCAAAAGCCCTAGCACCAGTTGTGAAAATAGTTTATTGTTAGTGAATAATAAAAATCCGCAAGCGCACAGAGAAACGAGTGAGTGGGTTTGTGTTGAAAATCGATGTATGTTTGTAAGTGTTAATCAGTTGTGGATGAATTGTTGTTAGCCTGTGTTTACAACCAATGGGAAGATTGATGTGTAGACGTACATGCAATCAGAATCACATGTAAATTTACATAATAGTTTAAATGTCTGAATTACAGCAAGTAGACAATAAAATAGATGAATGGGCTCGCTACAACAGACATTGCGGAGATCAAACTGCGTCACGAGGCAAGCCCTAACTTGGAATTGTGAAGAGAAAAAGAAAAGAGTAAGACCAAAAAACACAGCGTCAGGAATCAGGGGTAGACATCAAGAGAATGAATGGAAATTGGGGAAGATTGCCCAGGACAGGGTTGGATAGAGAATGTTGGTGAGTGGCCTATGCCTCTCCACGAGGGGTAAGAGGTGCAAGAAAGTTTACTGTTGACCGAATTCATTTTATCTAAATATTGTGTCTATTTTGCCTGCTTTGGATACATCGATGTCGTTGAGATTTCACTTCATTCTTATGCTAAGGTCCTTTTTTCACACATCCAGAATTGTTACACGCAATTATACTCTTAATTGTCAAATGTCATACTGGAGTATAATTCCATTATTGGAATGTAGATCTGTTATTATCAAAACTTACACTTCTTCGAACGCTACTACTGTAAGCCTTCATACCTTTTTCTCACATGAAAAGATTACTCCCAAAATTACCTTCCGAAGCATATCTTTACTAGATGTTAACTATGGTCACTAGTTCTAGATTAGTAATTTTAAAATAAGAAGAGTATTAAAGGGAAGTGATTGTGGAAAAATTGGATTCAGTCATCTGAACGTAACGTATTGATCTTTTCTGACACCCCTGTTAGTTTATAGAAATGATGATTTTACTTTAACAGAGACACTTCCGAAAAAGTGTAGATGTGCTCAGTTTATGGCGTGTTGTCTTACTATGAAGACTGGCAATTATCGACGTCCTCGAAAAAATACCTAGAAAAGTTTCATACTACTGGCAACTCTCAACTGTTGAAACACTTGTCTAACAAGAATGTAAAGGAATTACCAACTGATGATAGTAACTGCTAAATGACAGTTTGTAATTTATCCATACTTTATTCCAGTAATTAATCCTCAGTCTTCGAAATATCGGCAGTCATGACTAGATAAATAATCCAGTCACTTAGGTCTTTGTTTTCAGATTCGTTTAATATGATGTCGTTTATTCTAAATTCCACAGCGGATTGTGGGTTAGACAACTATCATTTACCAATACATGAGCGAGAACTACTTTAAAGGTTAGATATATACGAATAGACCTACGCGATACCAAACATTATTCAAATCTACTCTCAAACCACCAAAATGAATAGTAATTAGGATATCCAAAGTATTAATTGGGATGAATTTTCCGTAATCTTCCTATCAATGTATTAATTACTATACCAATATTGCATGGATTCGGAAAGTATGAATTGTATTTTAAAGATGATGTCCCTGCCATATGTTTTAGATTTCTTGACTTCCACGTTGTATGGCTTTGATGTCTAGAGCTCCCCTAACTGTGAAACAATAGGGCATTGAAGCTTATCTGTTTTTGATTATTCAGGCGTATGATTCATCATGAAAACCACCGTCATCACAAAATGCATAATAATCTTCAAAACAAATTATTAATATGTTTGGGAGAGAATCCACATCGTTTATATTATTTTTCAAGGTGTTGGAAACTAACACCAAGAGGATTATCCATTTTTGCATCAGTCGACTTTCAAGACAAATGAGAGAAATAAACAATCCGTCAAGTTGCAATATAAAGCCTTTTCCATTCAAACATGTCATCAATTCTTGTATTGAATTCCAAAAAAGATTTTTGAATGCTATTCCGTACTTGATTGCTAAATAGCTAAATGATAGTACAGATGATCTACTTTGACCTGGTCATGTAAGGTTGCAAGAAGAGTTGACGACGATCACCAGGATATTTTCGGGAAATGTCAAATTCTAACTATTTTACATATCTTCACTGTTTACCTATAGTTTAAAGCGACTTCGTTCACCCGCTGATAATTTACTCGAAAGCTCTCTTTCTGTCCCTCAGGAGTATTTAAGCTTAGTTATTGAGAAGATATGGTCTCCTAGAATTTTCGATTGAAATACAAATCTGTTGGATTAGCCTTTTGCGTCTACTCTGTGTTAGATGACAATCCAGGACGTGTTTGGAAAAAAACGTGAATGGGTTGATTCCTTCGGAGATTTGAGAAGCTGTTCCAAGTCTAGTCTGTTTGAAGTCAGAATAGATAAACAACTTTACACAAATAACAGAATATTGATCTAGGTACGTTTATGGCTCCAGATGCTGCGAAATTCACGTGTACTCAATCCGATTCCATGTAGGATTGAGGGTGCAGACTGGCGAGTATCAAACAGGGATGTGATAGGTACACCAGGCTCGATTTTCTTTCAATATATCATCAGATCATGATAGTTATCATCGAATCATTCCGTTTATTGGACAGACATTGAACATGACGGCTTTTGTTAGTGTTTATCTCCAGACAGTAACAGGGAGAAAACTATGAGTTGCCCAGGTCTAAAATATCAATCAATTGGAAGTTTCGTTGATCATATATATAACGTCCTCTACTTGATTACGGCAGAATATGATATACAACTAAGGGTACTCGAACGCGTAAAACCGCACAGCCGCAAATTAGAGTACGGAAGAAGCAGGAGAAGTGATTATCGTGTGAGAATCAAGAATGTACATAAAAACATGGGTATTTATAGTTATTAGCGTTGGTTTCAACACCATTATAACCCAGTCAATTTGCAAATAGGCGAATTATGCTATCGTCCAATCGTAGCATGCCACGTTGATATTCTAGAAAGCTCTATCAAACTCTGGTTGGATAAAATCTCTTCGGCTTCTTTAGAGCTTCTAGAGGCTTTGTCGTGCTTCTGGAAGCCAACCCTGTAATATATATAGTTCATATACTCGACACATTTATGTAAATAATATCTTTTACGAAATTAAGATAAAGATTTCTAAAACATGGCATTAGTTTCATTCTCAACACAACCAACTTTCATAAGTCATTTCTTTTACCAAAAAGTCTTTATAAATCAGTAGTCAGTGTATGAATATTGCTTAGTCAGGTGTTAGTACATTGCCTGTTTATGCTTGTTCTCACCGACTAATAAACCATAAAAATATGAATAAACTATCTCAACGCAAGACACTAATAAACATGCTACCTTACTAAAGCTACAATTGACCTCCAACTATCTAATACTAAATTTTTCATGCTCATATCATTAAAATGACAAACGATCTCATTTTAAATATAATATCGTTAGGTAAGTTATAGATGTCGACAAAAAACCTATAAAATACGCTCTAATTAGATGGATGAATTAAATGAAACATTTAATCGGAAAACAATTAAATGATAAATAAATTTCCTATTCACTGCATATTATATATGTTTATGTAATTTTCTCTCAGTTATAAACAATGTGCCCATTACTCAGTCTGTTTAGAGTTATCAATTCAAATATTAGTAATCATATGTTGATTAGAGTGGATTGTCAATCGGTCAACATAGAAGTTTTCAAAGTTTCAATTCCAGGAATAATCAAAAGTAGACTGTTAATTGGTTATAAACGAAGTAAAAAATGTCACTTATTATGGTCATAAAGCTGTTTTATGAATGTGATATTGATTTCAGTAAAATATTATATTCATCTGAAATATAATGGATTCAAAAAACCAGCAAGTTAAATATTGAAATAATGTTTGATACAATGCTTAAGACTATTGTTTGGTAAAATCATCTTCAAGTAGAAATTGAATCTTTACAAAACATAAAGGTATTTACAAGTCAAATTGCGCAATAAGGTTTTGTATATATACCAGCTAAAATATAAGTAATTATGACGAAAGTTATCAGCTGCACTGCAATGTATTTATATTCAGAATACCAGAAAACTACATCTACTTGTTCAACAATGCAAATAGGTAAAGGGAAATTAAATTTATCTACTTCAGTTGATTGCAAGTAGTAAGTGTATCACCTACGCTGGAGATAAGTCAGTATTTGTATTTATCACTAGATCGAAGTATAAACCTTCAAAATTACATATCTGGAAGTTTGTATTTATTAATAATAATTAACTGTTAAAAAGAAAACAAACGGAATTAATAAGCTAAAAACTAGGTAAATATATTTGGATTATTAATCAAGAACCAATACTGAAACATTTCAATTTATGTAGTAGACCATATACTTTATACGATTTAAATGTATGTAATGAATTTGATAAAATATATCATGAATATTTACCTTGAACGATCTTTCTTTTCTTTGGGGGTGTGTGTGTCTAATTATGATAAAAAGATGTTATCATTTGATAACCACAGAGGAGATACTAGGCACTATAGAGCTGAGTGCTTTAATAATGAGCTTTCTGAGTTACAAATAGTTTTCGTATCAGAACTGAGAAGACTTTATCTTACATCATCTAAGATGGTTTCTAATCAGAATATCTTAGAAATTATGAACCATGTACAATATGTGCATAAATAAATTTACACGAAATAATATTTACATTAACTTCCTAAAACAAAAAAATGATATCTTCTTTACTTTCTGTTCATTGATATTTCTTAAGTGCTGTTGAAAAGGTGTTTTCGCTTATATCGCTTTTATGAAAATCTGAGGTTAAATTTCTTCAGACAGACCAGTTGATGTCTTCTGCTATACCACTCAAAGGCGTTTCTTTCAAAATAAATGAGATTAACAGAGAGGTACACGTTTAGCTACCAAATTCAATATTTCTGTCAAAACGTTTCATTTATCAAGGCGTAAGCCAAAATGTCGGAAAGAAACTACTGTGTTTAACACAGATCAATTTCTCATTCAACAATTTGCCAAATTATAATTGCAAGTATGAGAATAAGAGTACACTATTCTGCAAAATAATGACTAGCTCACACGCCTGTATCATATAGTATGTCTTCCTCAACAAATTGTCTTTTAATTCAATCCGACTGAATCAAACAGAGAAACAATATATACATCGTAAGATATGCTTCCAATGAGTATAAAATACTTTATAGATTAGTTACTTTCCTAATCTGAGAACAGTAAGGAGTAAGCATAATTTAGACTCAAGAAGCGAATTAACTAATAAATATGTATGGACAAATTCGACGAACACAAGGTAGAGATTAAGTACAATTTACTGATGGTACAAAAGGGAAACAGTACGTATGCGCTAAGTTTTTTAAGAGTTAAGACTAAACTATTTAAGATCATGACATTTAGTGTCATGATTGAAGAGTAATTGCATTACCAAATTATTACTCATAACGTAAATGAGAAGCAACATTCTCATAGTCTTAGGTTTGACGATACTTAATACACGTGATATGACTCTAAATCTATTTCAGTAATGGATAATTTTCCGCATGAACACACAGGTAATTGATGATACTTGATACACTTATCCCTTTCTGGTATGCTATCGTTTGTGATTCTTTTTCATATTTCTTCCTTTTGATAATAAAATCGCGAGTAGTGTGACCGATTCACGATTGTTAACATTCAAATGACAAAAGGTTTTCTTATGAATCGTCAAAGCAAACTCAACTTGAATCGAATTACCTCCCAAATCTAACTGTAAATCCCCATGTCATAGAGCAAACAAGTTGAATATCATAATATATCATATATACTTAAATGGAGAATCTATGAATCCTTTCGAATTAAGCAGTAGCGCAAACACTTGTCTTTGTTACGATGGAGTTACCCACTAAGACTACGAACAAATAGGTGAGAAATATATATTTGAAGGGAACACATATTTTATAGTTTATATAAATATTTATACTTTAAAAAAAGTTGAAAGCAAATAAATTATTATTAGTATTACGGTTTATATAATGTCCAAATAACCTAATTGACTAGCACTTTACATAAATATACGTTTACTGTTGGGTAGTATAGTACCATTACAAATATCACTGCAAACTGAGGTAGTTATAACAAAAGCATCTATTGTTTACAGAATGCTTAATTACCTGTTTAAGATTAACACAAGGAGTATAGTGAGTACAGCATAAGCTTAAGAATGTGGATAGCCGGGTAGAAATGTAGATAAGATGTAGTGGGAATAAACAGGAAATTGGAACACGTAAAAGCAAACATAAACAAAATACTAAACAGGACAAAAAAACATAACCCATCAAATACAGAATCTTGTTAAAATTATAAATAAATAAATGTGAAAACACTACTTCTCTACTTCATTCTTTTAGCCAGTAATAAAAAGAAACAAAACACAACAACACTCCCGAAATAGAATTGTTAATTATTTTTGCAATCACAATGATGAATGTATAAATACCAGTGCCCAGTGGACACACATTTATACAAAAAGACCTACAGATTAGTGCACAATCACAGTTACCAAATAGATTTCATTTCTACAGTCTGAACTCAAAGAAAGGAGATTAATTCATTTCTTATATTATTAGACGAAAGACGGACCAATAAGTAGTTGAAGTAGTAGTCATAGTTGCAGTATTAAAAGTTAAGTAAACAGTAATAACAGATATTGTGTTAGTAATGGTGTACAACTATTCACTTTCTATGAATACAATAATAATATAATATGCAAATTTTAATTATTTTTGTCTTTTTTCCAACACAAATAATAAATCAAAACGAAACAAAATGTTGTTGTTCATACTATACAGAATAAGTTTATAAAAGGAAGGTTGTAGATAAACTGTTTATTTCGGATAACACATCGTTGTTACTTTTAACGAATATTTGATTGCTTATAAAGTTTTATGCGGAAGTTGATCCTAAATTGCTTCGTTGACTACAAACCTCACGCATTAATGGACTGAGGCCATCTAAACTGAGTAGTTTAGCGAATTCTGTCATACGAATTTCCAGGGTTCGTAAATCAATAAAAGCTATTAAGATACGGGCGTAAAGTTCGGTGGCAGACCGCACACGTTTAGAGCCTGCTTGCCAACGAATATAATTCCAAAGAAATAAAGTATAGGCCTGTCTAGCGGCAAACACAGGAGGACGTAGATCTTCAGAAAGAGAATTATCAGAGAATAGTTTGATGGCTAAAACAGACATTCGAAGAATATCATCTGAACCAACTAACTCATCTAAATGATCAAAAGCAGCGACGGTATTCGATTTATACAATTCAAATTCTTCACGTAAACCCATAGCATAGTTTGCTTGGTTAGAACGACAACGTGAAAATGATCGGAAACTATTACTTTGAAGCAATTTAGAACATGATCCAGAGATCACATTGTCTGGATCATTCAAAGAGGTGCTAGGAGTGGCTACTTCATCCAGCATTGAAACTGTTACGGTGGTTAACTGACCATCAGTTTGTAATACAGGATATCTTAATTTTCGAATATCACGTTCGAAGAAAAAAGACGAATATAGTACAATCAATCCGTAAATGTTTGTCTATATAAAGATAACAAAATACGACAATAATCACTTAATTATATATAAAATAAATCATTCGCAAATAGCTATACTAAATAAAATGTCAAGTTATAATACTCTGTACATACATTGGTACCACAATGGAAATGTTAATATAGAATTGTGACATTCCGAAGAACTCTTTGGCTCACTGTAATCAAATCAAAGAGAAGTACATAGACTTTACTGAAGATGAAGTTAAAAAAACTGCACAAACTGAAGGCCTATAGTCGGTTATTCGAGTAGGGCAACATTCACCGTAAATACCAAGTTTGTGTAGAGATATTTATCACCTCTAGTACTGTGAGAGCCCATATAAGATCAAATAAACTACCAAAAAGTGGGTCTGGCAAACCATACTGAAAGGCTACTGGAACTTGAACTACTTTCGAATAGAGAATTTATTCTATGGTGTACAAAATATAATCTTTCCTCTAAAATATATGTGGGAGTTGTATCTTTTACTTAGTCATATGCTATCAGCCTCATTATACATATTCAAAAGACTGCTGAATATATAGGGAAAGATAACTCGAAACCCAGCAATAGAATTACAGAAACAGGACTGTGCTCACTATCAATAAAATCGTAATTAATATTTGAGCACGAAGACGCCTTCATTTAGAGTTGAATACTTTCTAGTGAGTGATATAATTACTATACATATGTATTGTAAAAAAAATATGACATGTTGACGTTAGTTTTAAAGCTGTTAGCATGAGACGGACTGTAAATTTATTATAACCGTGATATTTGGAATAATTGAGAAGCGAAAATTGTAGAAATACTCATTTTCAATCAGTCATTCATCACTACTCTTAACTAATATACAGGACTTTTACAATTGAAATATAAAATAATTACCAATCAATTAACTATGAACCAATTCTAAACTAATTGTAATAAGAAATATAATCTACCTACAATTAATGTAATTTGGCAGTTGACAAATAGACAAAATCGATACAATTTTATCGAACGGTGAATTATAGTGACCTGCTCTTTTGATCTGATTAAGGTCATCGATAACTATGATAATGAAAAAGGATAAAAAGCGATAAGCTGGCAATCACGGGTCGGTGTGCATAAAAATGTCTACTTGCATAGTTTGACTGAATTTATACTTTTCGTTATAATTGATTACAATAGTACTTATTTACTTAAGGTTAATTTATAATTTCAGAATAATGAGTTAAGTTGTTAATCAGCAAAACAGTTTTATTACTTAAATTGGTTATGGAAACGAATAAATCTGCCTTCAGATAACTTTCATTAAAAATCAATTACAGAACTATTGAAGATCGACTGACAGCTAAGAACTAATTCCATGTTACCAAGTTTTGTAAGGATGACGACTCTTGTCGAAAACCCCTGAAGGCTATGATTTATGTACCAAACAGAATTGAAATCGCTAACTAATTAACAGATTTTAAGTTGTAACAATTTACTTCGGTTTGAGCAATCAGACAGTGCAGTTAGCCCTCATACTTAAAGTGTGGCTCATACCCAAGTTCCAGTTGATATCTTTACGTTATAACAATCAGCCGGTACCATTTGGTCGTGGTCTTTAAAGAAGCTATTTATACATACCATAGTCTACGAACAAGTCCTTGATGATTATGATAAAAATATACGATAAATTTACCAATTAAATCCTCATAAATTTGGTTACACAATCTGGGTATTTTTGAGTAAAGATAAGTAGTCTGATCATAGGACTCCGAAAATAGTGTTGTTAGGAGGAAGAAGACAATATATCCCATAATTTATTCCCTTCACTTCTACATCTAGGGGCTGAATTACGAACTACTTGTAACATTTTCGACTTCTGAACTACTCTTGAAATGTTACACGGAACATTTCCGATTGTGTACAACAAACCTCAAAACGTGTAACCACATGTTAAGCAATAAAAGTTATGAATTTAACAACACAATTATACACAGCATGCTTCGTGGATCTTTACATTAGTAACTTGTAGACAGATTATAAAGTACAAACTATCGATAAGTATGCGATAACTGGGGTCGCAATTAAAGATGGTATGTGTTTGAATCAATATATTTTTAGCAAACAAATCACAGCAGACGGTATTCAGCAATCAACTATGTACATAAACAATGAGTCATATATATATCGTGGAAAAAGTCGAAGAAATAATAGCGTGCAGCAGTAGCCACAAGACAAGACTAAATATTGTTTCTGATTTTCTACTTATTCTTTACATAATGTCGAACAATCGATAGTAAGTACGAATGAAACATAATATATGAAGGTTTAGACAGAAAGTTTACCATCTTAACTAACATTTACACATGCTGTAGGACTGAAACTCACCATCAGGTTTTCAGAAAACTTATCACTATATATGTGGTAGAATAAAACATGAAAAATGGGAAACTGAGAATTACCATGTAATTTAAAATGGATGGAATGACATTTGTAAACTTACTCTTAACAAACTTAGTTGAGCAGGTTTACCAACTTCACTAAAATAAGGCAACTGTTTAACAACCCGTATTATCCTCCGAATGCATGCATCCATTCGATTATACTCTTGTTCCAATGTGACAGCAATACCAGTTTCGAGTTGTTCATCCGGGGTAAATGGTTCTCGGATACGATGAACACAACCTTGCAAACAACTTAATAGGTGAGGATCCGGTGAAGTTATATGCATAAGAGGAGAACGAAAACATTTAGACCCAGACAAAGTACGTCGTCGTCGTAGTCGACGTTTCCGAGAACGAAGTCGACAACTGCGGTGTTGACAAAAAGTGCGACCACTAGACTTGCGACACTGTGTGAGACACAACCTATGACGTGCTTTACAACACTAAAGAAAACAAAACGAAAAAATACCAAATCAAAAGATTTTAAATCTCTTTCACAAAGAATTGCAGGATACGTTTAAAGTGAATGACATATACGATAGGAATCTAGAACCTACTTGCATTACATATATATTCGTCAGTTGTAATGCAAATGCTAACTGTAGAATAAAACTTGATATAAACAGAGGGAAATAAAGTCCTATATCACTATAAAGATCATGATAAAAAAAATCAAATAGACAATTTATCTTCTAAGTTTATTATTATGAAGGGAACAAATGATTAACATTGAAGCTATAAAATATCCGAAACTGATAATTCACGAAAACCAAACAAATTTTCGATTGATTTACTTATTATGATTCTTATTCAACATGAATTCCATTTTGATTCAATATAATGATTACTCAATGTAGTAATTGTTTTTTCTTTTTCTCTTATGATATTTTATTATGTAATAATATACGATATTCTTGTATTCGATTGACATGAACTATACTCAGTAAGTGATTTGTTATAACATACGTGATTTTCTTCTAATTATTAATCAAAATAAGTGTACGACTCAATATATAAATGAGTATATTTTCTACTAGTCGTCGTGTTTTGGAGTTGATAAATCTTCACTTATAACCAGTATTTGTGTTTTTACTTTCGCGTCGTGGGAATTGCAGTGTTTCCTCGGTTTTACAAGTATTAGTGATAGGCGATTCCAATATAAAAATCAAAGACGACCAGATAAAACAAGGTAGCGTTCAATCGAGAAGATATGTTTTCGTGATGATGAAAGGCCACGGTTGGGAAAATATTACACGAACAAAAATGGGAGTATAAAATATTTATTCTGTTGAACATGTAAATGGATACAGGAAGATGACAAGGAATATCTTAACACATGTTTCAAACCTCTAGTTTGCCAGTGAAATAGATGAATGGTTACATGTAATAAGACTGATTTTGTCTAACTTGTAAAAAGTATCTAAGTTTATTCCAAACAGAATAAACATGTTTTCTATACGCATGAGTATAATGATCAAGTCGAAAGGATCTTAACTGACGAAAACTTGCAAATTAGCTTGAGTCCCGATCTATTATTCAGTCTTTTTGACTGAGTAGTGTACAAAGGTCAGTGACTTCAAATAAAATCTTTTTGAAAAGTTGTACATTTCTGTGATATACTGTAGTAATGCATCTGAGATTATTTATCAAAGCCGAAAGTTCACTTACTAACTCCAAACCTAATACTTAGTTTACTGTGTTCCTTAAAAAATAGATAATGTATGCTGATGCCGACATTTATCGAATGCCGTTTAGGTCACATTTGGAGGAAAAAATAATAAGGGGCACCCAAAGGATCAGAAAGTGTCCACAAACTGCATTACATATTATTCTAATCTTTTTTCCTAACCCGCATACATAAACAAATCTCAGGTACAAAAAATGAAATGGTACTAATTATCCAGCCATTTATTATCGTCATTACGATTACACAATCCCTTTTTCTTAAGTGATCTCCCATGTCGTGTCCATTTTATTTCGGTTATTTATTTACCTATATTAGGTCACAAAACGCCAGAAATACAATTTTCTACTCATTAGGATATCACTAGAATATGTTTATCATTAAATATAATCATTAGTAAAGACAACATAACTCTTCTAGTCGGTATTAATGATCATTATTTTCCAAGATTACTTACTAATCTTGACTGTGTTTGGTCATATATTTTGTGTCCTGTATTTCTTATTATGATATTCGATTCCGCTTAGAAAACCCATATAAACTTTACTAAATGAAGTATATCAAGCCTTTGTTCAGAATTACATGAGTGATTGTATTGCTAGACCGTTCGCAGCTGATGGGAAGTGGTGGAACAGAATAAATCTGTTTTATTCTCCAAACTTTGTTGTTTTGATCTGTTAAAACTTATTATGGGATTTAGATGAACGAAATATAAGATCCATTCGTATAATAATGTAACATTTAAACATATGCAAATTTAAAAATCCTCGTAGATGGCTGGCTAAACTCCAGGGTTTCAACTAAGAGATGGATACTTTTATGAAGAAATTATCAGTTCCGACAGCTTTATACTGAAGATATTTGGTGAAAGACAAAATTTTGAAAGGTAGAGGTCTTAACGTGACTTTCTTTTGTAAGTATCACCTTGCTTTCTAGTGCTTATTCTATACATAGACAGTAACAATATTATCCATAGTAATTGGAGTGTTTCGCTTCGAGATAATAATTACTTCGAAAAGTGATTAACAGTGATGGATCAATTCTACTTAAGTGTCAGTATCACTAAAAGATTAACATTTTGTTAGACTACAATTAATATTCTTTTTATACATCTGTTTCACATCTACATACTGTATCATTTGAAATAACAGTTCACAATAACGGTTATCTTAAAATTAATCAATTAGTTATAAATGTGGATCCAAATAATTACTAATATTTTTGGTTCAAGTGGAAAATTGACTACTCAAGAGAGAATTGAAATGGACTGTGGTAGATCTTTAGGAAGATTTTAATTATACTAAGTGAGTTTAGGTTGTAAAAATTTGCGTAGAATCTTTATAAAAGTAGCAATAGAGAGTCTATTCAAAAATATTCGGAGAACCTAGTATGGAGTTTTTAGTGAGTTTTACACACGATAGCTAGGGAGTGGAAGAATGGGTTCAAAACTAGTTTATAATTCCTGTGACCTGGAATGACCTTTGTTTTAATTGACCTAAGTTACACAAAGATATTTCGGAGTTGGATTATATGACAATAAATATGCTTTAAAGTCAGCAAAAGAACAAAACTAAAACCAATCAAAATTAAACTTATGGGTTAATATCAAAATACGTTAAAAAAACTCAGTAACCAAGTTCAATTTCGTTCATTAGACTTTGAGTCACTCTTACATGAAGGCTGGTATACAACTGAGTTACCGAAACCGAAGTGGATGAAGAGGAATTGACATGTGAAACCATAATAAATGATTGCAAAGTGCGTTTCCATATCATTAACATTGGTGAAACTGTAGTAGGATAAAACACTCGTTAGTTTGTTAGTTATTAAAGTACAAATTTCAAATGAAACCACCTATTATAATGGTACATACATGACCACTAGAGTGCTGCTAGAGCCAGATGAATTAAATGTCGTGTCCACTAAACGTAAATAAAAACGATAGTGAAATAGGCTGGTTTCATCTTCCTTAAAAATCTTTTCTACAAACTAAATACTACTTAAAAGCGCAAAGTGATTACAACGAAACCTCATAGCTTGAATGTGAGGGCGTAACCGATACTTGGGAAACCTAACTTCAAACAATTATGAAGGCTTAATGACAAGACGAAGACCATTTGAAAGATAAGATGCTTTTACTCAATAAATTCCGGGAAGCCTGATTACATCTTTACGTGCCAAGAAAACCTAGATCTTTGTGAGTTTAGAAACAGATTGTCATTCCGTTGAATTTGCGTTGGTGATGCTTAAACTATCCTACCCAGAGTGGCATCACAATGTTTTATTCTTTCAATATTATACCGTATTTCTCTCTTGCATTTCCAACTAACACCTTATTGATTAACGTTTATTTCAATTTTACATGAAATGAGTTAACAAGTATATGGTCAGGTTATTGGAATTATATCGAGTACATACATCAAACTTTGTCTTCTCACTTATAAAAAATGGTGTAAGTCACTTCTCGAGGACAATATAATACACAAGTTTTTTAATCACCTTTAAGCGTGAGTGCTAGAGATACTAGAGGACTCTTTAAAAAGAATTAGATGGATAGAGCTTTAAGCCTGAAAACTCACCGGTTGAAAACCGAGTACTTTAACCACTAAACCACCGTTTTCACACTACAGTTTCAAGATTTACAGAAGCCGAACGTTTCAAATTCCCGCCATTCCAAAGCTTGAAAATTTCTACCTGAATAATATGATCATTAAGTGTAAGAGGAAACTTAAATATGCGGTCAAATTATTTAACAGTGCGGTATGACACAAACTATGGAGTATAACCATGTCTTGTTGTATTAAAATATCATCCATAAACTATTCCGATGCTAGACGTGACTCCTTATGTGAATGATTAATCCTATTTAGGTCATTCTCATCTTCAGAAATCGGAAAACTTTTGATTCATGAAGAAAAGCTTACTAATGGTTGTAATTATAGATGTAACAAAGGTAAAATCTTTAAAGAGTAACCAACCCTCCCAGATATCCTCCCTCCTCAATGAGAAGGGGCCCTACGTTAATAAACATCGTTGTCTCAAATTATCCTTATCTCGACTATTCCACTTTTGAAAGTATAAACTCGGCTGTACCAAAACGAAATCAAGTATTTTTGAAAAGATTGTGAGTGATTTGAACTTAAAAGTTACAGAGCAAACTAACTGGCTGATAATAGTATAATTTCTAATCGAAATCAATTAACAACTTCCTCACTTCTCCACATACTTTTACTAATATTTCATTGCTTTCACCCCAAAATTAGCTTTCTTTCTGGTATCTTCTGATGTCATATTCTTTTCCATTAATTTTCTCTTAAATGTACATACACAGCATCCAAGTTACTCAATCGACATTATCTACCCAATTAAACGGGTCCGCAAGGTTTTACGTCGGAATGAACGTCATTTCTTGGATGTAGTCTCGAGGTACAACCACAATAACCACAATTGCCGCAAACGTGTAGCCATAGAAGCAGAATCCACTTTTTGATTGGACAGACGAGCCAAGAAGAGTCAATTGAATAGTGATTTTCATATTTTAAAACAGTGAACAGATAACAGGCACCTGTGTTGTGATTGTGCTCTGAAAACTACCCAATTATGGTAAGCGACAACTCTAATTACAAGAAAAAATATTATCTCACTCAGCGCCTACTCATTTAAGCGTAGAGATAGAAATTTAGGAAGAATCTTACTTATAGTGTACATGTATGGGCTGCAAAGGAGAATGTTGGTTGATAAGAAAAGACCAAAATATCTTGGTATTTCTCTAGAATTAATGGACATTACTGACTACATTAAGATTGGCTACCAACGGAACCAGGTAATACAGACTCATAAAAGGTCTATCCAACTGCTGTATTGAATAATAAAAGCATAAGATGGAATATACAAATCAAGAATCTATGAGACAGTTTTAAATGATAATCAGTTACTAAGTTGGTTGAACATTAGCCCATAAATTTATAAACACCTTGCTCAAATTGTTAAATAAAATAATTAAATAAATGCATGTACACTATAAGGAATAAGGATTATCATACTATCGAATTAAATCAGCTTGTAGACGTTCTAGGGTTACTGCAGGTCTCAAGCTCAGATAAAGGAGGGTTGTGGAAAGAATCAGTAACTTCATCTCGTACGAGAAAGCCTTCCTAAAAAGCGCTAACCAGAACGAATAATTTAAACTCTGTCCTGAAGGTCGAAGGACCTTCGTTTATAAGAATTATGACATCTCATGGTGAAAGCCTATATTCTTCAGAAGTCATGAGGTCAATGTCCCAACAACCAGAGCAACAATTAATACATGTGCATGAAGTGTCTGTTTAATGTCGGAGACCAGGAGGACCAATCAAATTGCTGTGGAAGTGAGTAGATACTACGTGGTAGTTCTCCGAATGAGTGAAACCCATTGGAACCAAGCTGGACAAAAAAATAGATTGGAGAGAGATGGTACTTTACTCTGTTCACGAAGAAAATGCCCCACACACTCAGGAAGTTGCCGCACAAAGAATCCCGGAAAGCACTTAGACGATGGGACTCTCATGGATCAAGCATCATCAAAGCGTCTTTCAAAACAAAGGAAGAAATTACAATGAATGTTGTCCAATGCAATGCACCCACGAGTGATAGCAAAGACGACGATAAAGATCAGTTTTCTGAGAGGCTGCAATCGATCATAGAGAAGAGCTCAGGAAAATACCTAACCGTCCTGATGAAAGACCTAAACGGCATGGATTGGGAGAAAGAAACGAAAATGGTGAGAAATTTGTAAATTTATGTGCCTTCAACAAAATGGTTACAGGTGGTATAATATTCCCCCACAAACGCACACACAAGGCTACATGGATCTCACCGGATCACACCACGGAGAACCAGGTAGTTTATATCTGTATCACTAAACAGTTCATAAGGACAATGGAAGACATAAGAACCAGGAGAGAAGCTGATATAGATTTAGATCACCACCTTACATACTTGCTTACCCCTGTTACTCCCAATGGAGCATAGGCTGCCGACCAGTATTCTCCAACCCACTGTCCCGGGCCTTCCTTTTCAGTTCTATCCAATTTTTGTGCATTTTTCTCGTTTCTATCTCCATTTCTCGGCGTAATGTGTCCTACCCACTTCCAGCGCTTCTTCTTGATTTCTTCCTTCGCTGGGATCTGGTTTGTTCTCTCCCATAGTAGGTTGCTGCTGATAGTGTCTGGCCAACGGATCCAAAGTATTCTGCGTAGACAACAGTTAATAAACATTCGTATCTTCTGGATGATGGCTTTCGCAGTTCTCCAGGTCTCCGCCCCCTACAGTATAACTGTCTTGACATTTGTATTGAAAACTCTGACCTTGGTGTCGGTTGACAGTTGCTTTGAGTTCCAGATGTCCTTCAGTTGTAAATATGCTGCTCTTGATTTGCTGATCCGCGCCTTCACGTCTGCATCAGATCCACCCTGTTCATCAATGATGCTGCCTAGGTATGTAAAGGCTTTTACATCCTCCCAAGCTTCTCCGTCCAGTGCGATTCGATTGTTGCATGCTGTGTTGTATCGGAGAATCTTGCTTTTCCCTTTGTGTATATTGAGACCTACTGCTGCGGAGGCTGCTGCTACATTGGTTGTCTTCTGCATTTTTTGTTGCGTGTGTGATAGAAGAGCCAGATCATCTGAGAAGTCCAGATCGTCCAGCTGCATCTTAGCTGCCCAATGTATCCCATGCTCCCCTCAGATGTTGATGTCACCAACTGGTTGTGACCAAGATGAAACTGAAGCTAAAGAAGCACTGGACAAACAGCATTGCAAATGTCTAATAAAATCTTCCTTTGAGATACTGACAAACTCGACGAGCTTAACAGGTCCCAAACCTTACAAGATCTACTCAAAGGAGAAAAACTACAATGGGGAACAACTGGAAAGGTATCAAAGTAGCACTAACTTCAAGGTGTTAGGAGTTGTGGGCCACAAGACGCGTCATCATAAAGAATAGATCTCTATTGATGACCTGGACAGGATTCAAGAAAGAAAAGACAAGAAGACAATGAACAACAGTCGAACAAGAGCAGAGAAAATCAAGGCCCAGAGTGAATACACAGAGGCAAACAAGAGAGTGAAGGGGAACATTAGAGTCAAAAAGACACTGAAGGTGGACAGGACATATATTGCAGAAATCAAGCTGCATCACAAAGCAAGCGCTAACTTGGAATCATAAAGATAAAAAGAAAAGAGTAAGATCAAGAAACACAATGCGTCGGGAATTAGAGGCAGATATCAAAAGAATGAACGGTAACTGGAAGAGATTGGCCAGGACAGAGTTGGTTGGAGAATGCTGGTGGGCAGCCCATGCTCCTCCATGACGGGTGACAGGCTTAATTATATGATTAAACGGATAATGTCAATAGTTTATAAGTATCTCTGTAATTTCGTTGTATCCTGTCTAAAAAACACAAATTAGAACAAAAACGCCGCACTTCATTATACAGTGTGCAAGTGAAAGCATTACAAATAGGCTCAACATCAATCTTTCTGAAAAGAGCCTTGCGATTGAACGATCTGAGGGGCAGTACAATCGGTGTTATATCTAAAAGCTTCCTGTTCAAAAGTGAAAAGCGTTGGGTGTGTGCAATGATGGAATACTAATTGAGATAAGATAATGGTCTGGGAGATCGAAATTCATTAATCATGTTTCGAAATCACTAAAATATCTTCGAAAACATGGTTCAGTTTTGTATATATGCATAGGAACAAAGGATGTGTATTTTACTTACACTATCTGACTGTTGAGATGATTCAAGAGATAAAAATTTCTCATTCAGATTTTGATCTTGATTTACAGGTGGCATAAATAATTCATCGGATTTTCCAATTACAGGGATTTTTATTGAACTATTTGGGAAGTTACATTCTTTGGTTTCTAAAGTACCAGAGGAATTAAATGTATCCGTAGTTAATGATAAGTCACTGCAATGACTTGAATTCACATAACTAGAAAATTTGACAGGATTTATCAGATGTAGTGGTCTGCTAGCTCCAGAAATGAATGAAGAATTGTAAGATGTTTGACTAGATCCATGTTGTGGGTGAGATGATGTAGTTAAAGGAGATGGTAAATAGGGAGGATAAGCATTTGTGTTACTACTGCCAACTGAAGAAGGTCCAGTTAACAAATTCTGAGGTGAGGAACTGCTATCCTGAGGAGAATGGTGCTTGCGGCGTCGAGGTTTAGCTCGTTGTTCAAGTTTTTCAGGTGCTAAAAAAACAGAAATGAACAGCTGAGAAAAAAAACTATATGATGTACTACTAAAAGCTAAGATAAAAACAATAACTTATTTACTTAGTACTCCATAACTTTTAATCAATTTATTTAGCTTTACATGTAGCTAGAATGTCGAGCTTTGTACAATGGAGGGTAATAAATGCGCTACAGAATGAAACAAGTGTTAGGAAGAAACGGAACTGGGAGAATATTAACGGACACAATTTCAGTAAGAAAGTAAACACTATTATTTTCTGTCTTAAATTACATCTCGTTGCTAAAATGAGTCAAAAAGGAGTTTCTACTGATCTTGGTTTTTAGCCGTTGAGTTGTATGCAATTGACATTGTAACTTGCTAACCCCTTGTGCGAACCTAAGAGGAATGAGTTAGACCAAACGTGTATATTAATAAATTCTAAAGTTCTTGATCTTAAGCTGTAGTTCGGGAACAATAAACTCAATAGAACTGGGAAAGTTTCAAACCTGAAAATCAATTTTTCGAACAAATATTTACCATACAACTTTTAGATCATAAGGACAATAAACAACATCCAACTGTAGTTGTATTTCATGAACTTAAGGCCATATTTGACTCAGTTGAACAATGGGCCTTGGGCCAATGTATATAATTGAGTAGCGCACCAAAGTGCAATAATTTACTGAAGGTTTTTTCCCTAAATATTATTGGTCGATCCACAACAAATAACAAACTATTATCTGGATTAGTTACGTCACCCGACCTTGATACTTACTAAACGATGTTAGTACTGAACGAGAAAAATCATTCAGGGACAGAGTTTCAAATTAGTGAACTGATGAACAGCTTGGAAATAACAGATTTCATAACTGTAGGAAGTAAATCCTTACACAGAGATCTTTTACAGGTATCCTCTTTCTAACAAACAACATACTAAAAACAGACTTGGTGTTTGACGTGTCTTGCATAGTTTGAGAAACACTAAGCAGCTGGAGTGCGCAAGAAGTCTTCCAAGGTAATCACGACAACATAAGTTTAGTGGAATAAAACACAAAGCTTCTGATACCGCCTCAAACAACCAAATTCATATTTTGACCCAAGTTTTCGTAAGAGTCGATTTGTCTGACCCGAATGTTTCGCAGTTTTAGTCTTTTTAAGAACTCTACGTTGTTGACTAACAATAGAGTTTGATGTTCAGATTTAGACAGTTGTTCAACATTTGGTTGAACTGTTTTTCAGTGTTTCAATAATTATTGACAGAGCTTTAGATGGTTGTTAATTTGCGTTTTCTCAAATTAAAAGATTGTTTCACTAATACAAAACTACTTACTGGTGATGGTTCAGATGGCTTGAAATATCAGTGGCCAAATAAAACTGGTGCTTTCCTTCATGACATTCTTACCATCAAGTTTTCAGCCTTTAATGAGAGTTAGTGAAGTTTCTGCGTAAAAGACATATCTATGATTATATTTTCTAACTTGGTCTATCATTTAAGAAAAAATAAAGACAGTTCAGCGGAAATTTTTTCTTCGATAATTTCATTTTCTCATGCTATTTAATCACAGTTATGGTCAGTTTTCCGATAATAAAATATTAGTGTTAAATCATTTATTATTTGATTATATTGCTAGGTGCATCCAAATCACTTATATGGTGAGTTTTAGTCAGTCTGAATGTATTTACACTAAATTTGAATGAACCTGATATCATGAGGACCAATTTTAAAGGGAAAATTTGAGATTGGATTATCTCTCATCAATATTTGCGCATAAGTTGGGAAAATAGAGAAGGGCAGATCTTGAACATACCGAACCACATTTCCTTTATAAGGATAACATATACTGTTTTCACTCCAAAAATTTAGAAACACCACTTACGTAGTATCAACTCTCTTTTCATCCCAACAGCCAAACATTTTTCAAGCCTGCACGAAGGGCAGTGTTTACGTTGATTGCCTTCAATAGCACACCCCCCACCTCGATTACAAGCTTTTATCTGAAAGAATAGAAATTTGGGTTTATCAGGCGTTTGTTGACGGATAAAAAGATTACTTAAAAAGAATGTAGTATATATTAAAATGAAGGATGGCACTGAAAGAGGTGAGTAGAAGAAATCCCACAACTAATTATGAAGTTATTTAGGAATGATTACCTTGATTTATTCGAGTAATCGTGATTTCATAGTAATTAAATTGTAAATAACACTTTGAAACCACTCAATAATTCGCTTAGATTTATTATTTTGTACTACTTAAACAGGTCTATAGTTACAATATAGTAGAAGTCAAGGATAACTTATATATATCTCCAACTGAAGGCAAGATGTAGCTTCAGGACCGATTTACATAAACGTCTACACTAATCACAGGAAGTGTAATAGTTCAGTGTGCCGGCCACTTCACTAATCTTTGAAGTCAAACCCCTCTTGGTGGATTCTTAACTAATAAGATTTCACCAGTGGTTAAGAAATCTAGACTGACATTCACCAACTTCATTTACTTGTGTTGTGGAGATGTGGATCTTGCAACCACAGAGCGACCAAACGGACGTACAGTGTGCTTTGTATTACTCCATGATTGTGACACATGGTCTATGAAAGAGATAAGTGTATTTTCCAAGCATTGATTACTGATGATGAGACGATCAAGTAAACGACACTGCAACTAGAAGTAGGATACTAGGCGATGTAAAAATGCTGAATTTGTGAATTTTCATAGGCGGAGGTAGTTGAGGCATGTGTTACGCTAACTAGAATAAGGCTGGTAGAAAGCTAGGGGCATCTTAAACAAAATGTAGCATCAGTATATGAAATTACTAATTGCTGGTTTGAGCCCTGTTGGTAGGGGTTACCTCAATTACTCCGATAAGTATCCAGAGAGTTCTAGGTGGGTGGTGTGGTAACTTGGCTAATGCATATTTGTGCCGCGCTCAGCGATGATTATGACCGATTGCCCATATTTTTTGAAATTTAAACATGTTAATCCGTCCATTAATTTTATATGTTTGTCTTACTTTCAAAGAACGAACAGAATCCTGTCACTATAAACTGGAACCAAACAACAACTTGATAACCATTTGATACATTCCACATACTTACACAAAGCATTATTAGTTGTAGCCCAGTGAATTAGGTGCTGAATTCACAAACAATGTAGTATGACTTTATTTCAATGCCATAGATTCTCGTCTGGGAAAAAAAACACTATTACCAATTAACACTCAACAAGTATAATTTGAAACATCGTAAGAACTCCTGTTTAGTAGGTGATAATATGAATAAAGCTTCAGGAAACTACGATTAAAACAATAAACCCAGAACCTTCGGCTACTTACAAAAGCACATCTTAATAACTTTTCTTTGCCCATAACTGCAATACAAAACATTTGCACCCTAGGATTCGCATCCCATTAGTAGTGTGAGGACTGAAGATATTATTTAGCCGTTGTGACAAAATTAGTTGAAGATATTTTGATCTGGCCATGTACTTGTACTACTGGAGTGCGGTCTCGTTATGAAAAACTATAAGTTGTCCAAACAATTCCCATTTTTGGTTTGTAACACATAAGTAAAAGACTTAGGTTAGACATGAGAAACCAGACCTAATTTCAACTCTATCTGATCGGTAATCACAAAAACTTAGCAGCGTTGTAAAAGCACATTAAACAAAGTTACTTAAATATAATTGAACTTAGGCGAGCCTTTTGACAGTACAGAAAGAAACTCAAACTGACTAAACGCAAATAATACTTTTACGTTTACACTAAGACTGTATGTCACTATCTCAAGAGGGCTAACTCGATCCCCCTGGTAGGCAATATGGTCAATCATCACAACTTAGCTCCTATTGTTGAGGTATCCATACAAATTAGTTCTGAAGGTTTATTTTTTTATTCAATGTAGTAAAAAACTCAGCTCAAACATTATTAAAGGACCACTCAGCGTCCAGAAAGCGATGTATCTTGTTAATGTCCCTGACTAATATGGTTATCCTGTCTATTTACCCTAAATTGATTAAGAGGTATCCAAGTAGGACATCAAGCCATGAGAAGTTAGATAATTTTTCTGGAAAAGGACATTAGTGACAAGGTTTCTCAAGTGGGAAAAGCATTAACTATAAAACTTAACTTTGTCCCCACAACCAACAATTAGTTCTAATTTGTGACATAACTAGTGTTTAAGAAATAATCTTCAACAATCCATCATATCAATATACATTTTATTTGACAAAAAGCCTGTAAATCAGCAAAAATATAGGCGGCTCTAGAACACCAGACAGTAGACAAAATAGTGAATTAAGACTTTTCCAGTTCCGGATAGTCAAGGCAAGTTGTCTCGGCCTTCCAATGTTAACGGACGTAAAAGACTACAGGAATATTGTTCCATATGATAAGCTATTTCGTAACCCATTTAACAAGTTCACATAGAGAGTTCAGTAATTGATGACTGGACATGATGGACTGTAAACGAAAACATACGTTGGACACTAAGACTAAATACATTGCAACAAACCATAAGACCAATTTCGAATACTCCTGGGAAACCCCATTGCCAACAATTTTTTCTTAATTACTCAAAACTATTAGCAGTCACACACAAACTCGACACAGATAAGTGAATAACTTCATTCAACTACGTTTGCTAGTAATTTGCCTTAAATTTACAAGTCTTTGGAACTAAAGGCATCGATACTGCAAGATTCTTCAGCAGGAATTGTGTGAGCTAGGCATATTCATAGGTATGAAACTTACTTTATCCCTAGGCTTGAGTGCGTTTCTGCGAAAAAACGCCTTGCAACTTTCGCAAGTCAAACGATCAAAATTATAGCCAGATGCTGGTTCACTACATACAATACAAACACGTTCTTCCTCACTTATTCCAGCTTTTCGTCTTCTGGTTCGGACGACACCAGACAAAGGGTGTTTCCGAGAACCACTCTGAGAGAACTCATTGAAGTTGCCGCAATAATGACTATTGTTACTGATATCATTATGGACACTCTGGATGTATTGATGATTTTGGACGTAATCCGTTTGAGTACGATTTAGGCATACAAAACCCTCTTTGTCGTGACCAGCGTTATTTGCGTAACCAACAGATGAAGGCCCACTAATATTCATTGAATTATCTAATGGATTTCCAGGAGAAATACGGAAAGAATTATTCCGTACATTTGTATTCACGTTTCCACTTGGATAATCATTTGCTCCAGGATCCATTGCACAAAAAGTGGCTTTTTACATCAGCGGATTGAAATACTATTTAGGTAAGAATTCTGAACAGATGTGATTTGTTTCGATTATGAAGTGATGAAGCTTATGAAGGTGACATGTTAGGTAAAGCAGTAGGTTGACCGGACAAACACCGCAAATTCTTGAAGGACGCGCCTGGCACACAATAACATTGTGATAAGCTAGTGCAAACTGATCGAGTTGTTTGAGTCAGTTTTCAGATTTTATTGTAGGATTATAAGCCTTTTCCGCCTAATATGAGATTTATAGCCTATCAGATGCATGATTTCCATTGAATTTGGTTAGCAGTTACTTCGATAAACTATCCGACTATTTTTCTCCCATTGATCCGTCCTTCATGTCCAGTTTGATAAAGGATTATTGGCACTGATTTAACGTTCAAATTATCCACGTGAGCTTTAAACACAGTTATTTGTATCATTTCCTGATGTAAACATGGAGCTACTGTATACACATGATTAGTTACGTTATATCTACTTATCTTCCAGTAAAAACGCCTAGACTTTTGAATAGTTTCTTCACGAACCATTCTATATAGATTTAGCCTGATTGTTAGATATCCAGCCATTTTACACAATTCCCGATGTGCTTTAAATTATGATAAGAATGGGGATTTGTTGAGATTGTAGTAATTATAACAGGTGAACTCATGAGCCAATACGGCAGTCTAGTGATTCCGGGTTTTCAATGGTAGTCTAGCTTACATATACTCATGAACTCAGCTATACTTTAAATGGTAAAAACATAATAATGCGAGTTTGATTAATTATTTCCGTTGCCAAATCTCTTAGGCTTTATACAGTCTAAAGGTGCCACAAGTATTTGCAGTTTGACAGCTCCTGGACCAGTAACATCTGCATAATCGAGGTATGCCAAACCAGCCAAACCAGAAGTCAGGAATGAAGACGTTTGAAAATGTTTTTGGGAGGATATTTGTGTATCGAAGGAATTTTTGACCTAATCTGGCAGGACTTACCCATTCTTGATCTGGTGTGGTTGAGTGGTGTAGTGTCAGTTATTATGGCAAGCCCATATACCTATATTCTAACTTCCGGACATCCTATTTCATTCATTTTACTTGAGCCATATTTTGACCTTGTCAATTATTCGCTTGTCAGTCTTGACTGTTTTTTTATATGAGCGTATATGAGTGTACACTTCATGTCCCATGATTCATTGTATGTCTGTAGCTTATTTTGTTTGACTATAAATACTGAGTAACGCTTAATTAAAATGGAGTTGGCTTCCCAGCCATCCTCCCTGTGCGTCATTTTGCTTGGCTCTGTTTCATTCACTTCATATACAAAATATATGTATTCAAATGCCATTCTCGTTAATTGACTTATTTAATTCCGTTATGGACTAACGCGATCTAAGCCGACGATGATAAACGAGAATCAGCGATAGCAAACATCATGTACGCTCTAAATAGGAGTCAGATCAACGGGCTACTAAAGTGGTAAGCCCGCCGACGACGAACGCAACGCAGCAAGCTACGTCGATGAAGAGATTTCTGCACTTGATACATTCGACGAACGCACTCAACGGGTCCAGCTCAATCTCTAATCCAACGCACTCAGCAAAGCCTGTGCAACACGACATGGACATGCACAAATCTTATTATCTTATTGTTACTTTGTCCTCATGTCAATTATCTTCATTGATACATTTGTCGGATTGTTCCATTACGATTCAAATTATCATTGTATACTTATTATTACATTATTGCCAATATCATGATCGAATGTGGAATTATTAATCTTGTTCGTGCTGTCATTAAATCATGACATTTTCGCAATCATATTACTCACCGAACAAATTATTATTTTATGAAAATTCCACTTTACGTAATGGCATCTAGAACCCATTGGAATATTTTTACTATTCAAGAACGTGAAATTTTCATGCTTTAAGTGAGTTTGTTCCAATTTTTGTCATGTCATTTTGATCTAATATTGCATTCATTCACTTAGTCGAGGTCCGCAATTTATGTTATCACAACATACATTTTTCATTTCGAAATCGCCTCCTATTATGTCTGTGGATGCTTCTGACTAGCTGATTAGTAACCATTACGCTCATTTTATCTATTCTTCCACGTGCATAACTACATTCTGCATCACTTATCACTGGAAAACGCTGTTCGAGTACTGCAACTACTATTCTATACCCATCGCTCGGTATATCAGAACATAGAGTTTAGAGCTAGCCTCTCAAAGATACACTCTTGTTCGTCACATCCAAGTCAGTCTCGTACGTCGCCATCACTAATCATATGTATTGGTATTTTTGTCATGCCTTGGTACGGTTTTGTAACAAACGAGATCGAGCGCATCTCCCTCAAACCACACAAACCACTCTAGGCTTCATGACCAAAAAGGAATACGACTCTACGTACCTCGTCTACTCAGTCTCTAATCTGTTCCTCTGGTCATTCTTCTACTAATACATATTTAATGATAACTCAATGCATCTGTCATAACGCAGACGACAACGTCCACTGACTTCAAATTTTATGATTATTATCAATTGCAGTACAGCAACGAATATCACCCGTCGATGCAGATATCATTTCACGACTTTCCTATTATCATCCTACGCATTTAAATTCGAATTCACTCATCACTAGTCAATGCGATTTATTCTGCTGCGGCTCAACAGAACATATATTTCGCATATTTCACTATTTTGTCAGCATCACAGACCAATTTCTGTAATATTCTACTGTACTCATTTTGACGATTTATTTCGCTGTCATACCCACAAACAATTTATTATTTTCACGATAATTTGAATCACTCATACAAACGTGTTATTTTATCGTTCAGACAGCCATAGAATTAGTAATGTTAATTTCTTTGTACGCTCATTAATTTGCTCATATTCGCATGCTAACGTTTCCATTTTTGTCCGAGCCTTTGCGATATTCATGTATACTTTTGCATAAGTATGACATTTTCATATAATACACTCACCCCTCATGTGACACTGTACTTTATTGAGTGTTGTAGAATTTTTCGGCTACTTAGTGTTAGCGTTAACTTCATATCACTTCAGTGTTATTTTCGAAAACAGACATTTTTTAAATGTGCTATTTTCTACGAGGGGGCTATGTAGTGTCAGTTATTATGGCAAGCCCATATACCTATATTCTAACTTCCGGACATCCTATTTCATTCATTTTACTTGAGCCATATTTTGACCTTGTCAATTATTCGCTTGTCAGTCTTGACTGTTTTTTTATATGAGCGTATATGAGTGTACACTTCATGTCCCATGATTCATTGTATGTCTGTAGCTTATTTTGTTTGACTATAAATACTGAGTAACGCTTAATTAAAATGGAGTTGGCTTCCCAGCCATCCTCCCTGTGCGTCATTTTGCTTGGCTCTGTTTCATTCACTTCATATACAAAATATATGTATTCAAATGCCATTCTCGTTAATTGACTTATTTAATTCCGTTATGGACTAACGCGATCTAAGCCGACGATGATAAACGAGAATCAGCGATAGCAATCATCATGTACGCTCTAAATAGGAGTCAGATCAACGGGCTACTAAAGTGGCAGAGAGCCTTCAGATAGGTGAGTCCAGTAAAACCAATGTGGTCAGAGTCAAATGCCGAGGACATACAGAGATACTGATCTTGAGGGTTTATTTAGCGCTACAAGTCCATTAAAAGCTCCGAAATTTCACTTTAAAAACCTTCACAAGATCTTTTTTCTGATGTATCTTATTTAAATTTCCTTTCTTTTAAAACTTTGAGCAAGTAAACAATTTCGGTCGTCCATAATCATTATTATCTGTGTACACTTATTGTGACGTTGCATAGCTGTTAGATTATTTATAGTGTCGGTTGCTATGTTAAGCTTACATAGCTTATTCTAACTTCCGGACAGGTCAACATATCCACTCTTCTTCAGTCATATATTTGACTTTGTTATTTTTGCCAATCAACCTTGACTGTTTTTATGTGAACGTATATGTGTTCATTGCTTATGTGACTCACCACATGTCTGTAACTTCTTTTTATTTGGATACAAATATCGATTAACGTTTGATTAAATAGAGTTGGCTCACAAGCCTTCTGCAATGCGCGTCATTTCGTTTAGCTCTCTTCTCTGCATTTCCTTCGCTTAACCCTCTGATTGTCTGTCCAGACCAATGAGTGTACAAAATATATATATTCAAAAAACTATTCTCGTTTTGACTTATTTAATTACGTTATTCACCAACGCAAGTTAGGTCGATAATAAGATACGAGGATAGCAGGCATGTATATTTCGACACCAATTATTCGATAATGATAATCACACGATCAAATTGGAGTCAGATAATGGGCCACGGAGCACTAACCAGTAAACACTTGACTTACTTTGCCCTAATTGGATTATATGAAGTAGCAATTCAGATCGCTTTATCTAGTTTCTCACATAACTTTATTTGCCTATGTATGATATACCATTTTCTTAAATCTTCACTGGGACTTCACCAACGCCTTCGTAAACCTTTAGAACTCCGTTCAAATTAGCCAGGACACAATCTGGAGATTCGTAGTCTAAAGTATTTACATGATATAATGTACACAACATCTGTATTTAGTAGTTTTCTGTATTCATCTGGTTGAAATTTTCATCGACATAATTACTTTTTTCAGGTTTGAACTTGTAGTGGCTTTGGGCCCTAACCACACGATCATCAAAGCTGAACACGAGAGAATTGGTGAAATAGATATTCAACATTTGACGCAGAGAAAAACCCAACGATGGGAACGGCGGGAGCAAGAAATTGAATTAATTCGAGTTGATGAGATGGCATGACTCGGCTTTGCAGGCGTGGTCACTGTTGACTGTTACCTTATATATTTTACTCATATTAAATTTATTGTTCTATCTCCAGCCTGAATGTGTTCTTCATCATATATTGATAATTATTACGATACGATGAGTCAGTGTAGACAGTGAT